GCCCTCGCCCCTCCGTTAGCAGCAGGTGGGGTGTTTCCTCTTTGTTTCTCTTCTTTTCATTATCTCACGATTGTTATCAATTGAAAATAAAGCTATTTACTTTTTGGAAATTTAAGTAACTGCATGTCTTTGTCGGATTGCGGCAGGGAGCTCTAGGTCCATTTTCGGAACAACTAACTGCTCTCAATTAGCAGCAGGTCCCTCTAGCGATTCCACTGTCCGTTCAATGCCCTGCTGCTATTTGGTGGGTTTCTCCAGCTTTTGTTCTTTCCTTCATCTCGATATTCAAGTTATTGAAAAATATATTCTTGTTTTAGCTGCAAATTTGTTTTCTAGGTCTGTGTCATATTGCTATGTATGGACGACTCGAATGAGAGAAGCCAGTTTTTGAATTTACTTAGGCGAAGAATCCTTTACAGTTATAGTTTGGGTCTATATACCTTCATCTCATGATTCAAGTTATTGAAAATTATCTTCTTATTTTAGTTGCAAATATGATTTCCAAGTGTATGTAGGGTTGTTACGTAGGGATAGTCGAATGGGAGAAGTCAGTTTATGAATTTACTTAGGCTAATCTCTTATTTTTATAATCTAGGTCCATCATGTTGAGAGGTATGACACAGATGATGATGCTCTTTGTTTATTATAACTCTGAAGTAAATTTTTGTACTTGTTGTCATCATGTATGATGTAGAGTAGTCCTTATGTGTTACTTATAGTTCAATTTTCATCTCTTCTGCATGTAAGAGGGCAAAACTGTGTACGAAAGTTCTTGCTTTTTTGGATTTATCATGGATCTTCCCCCCCCCCCCCACTGTTTCTTTCAAACAATATTGGTGTTTCATGTGATTTTTGTCTGCACGACAGCATGTACTATGACTTATATGCGTTAATAATAATAGTAGAACCAAAAGTCATTTTTGCCTCCCCAATTAGTGCATGCAAATGGATATATGATAATCAGACTTGAGGCTTGATAAAACTGGTGAACCATCTGACTATGGTGCTTTCAAGTAACCAGCTTGCTTTTGAGTAAGTTCTATTTGATATCAGTGCTTCTCTTGGTAGTTAGTTGTATCATCAAGCTACTTTCCTCTGTTAGTGTTCCTTGTTGTCAAGGAATTAAGTGTTTCTATCCAACTTGAATGATTTCTCTTACATAATGGTATGTTCCCCAGCGAGTCTGAGTTGTTATCTAGCCTCTAATATTGAGTTGTTTTGTGGTGGATAGAATGTCACGTATAGGCCATTAAGCTTTTGTCTAATTCAGTCATGGAAACCAACCATGGTGACAAGTTGCAACATCAATCTGCATTGCTGCCAGCTCTCTTGAGTGCTTATTAATTGGTAAAGTTTTGTTCTTATTTCGATAAGAAGTTAAGCCTGAGATTGGAATGTTGGTTTGGTCAAACTTTAATTCGTGTCATTTGTATATAAAACGAACCAGCAGAGTCTTAGAACCAATATTTTTATCTTTGTCAATTTCATTACGGGACAGTTCTTGCAAGAGAATAGTATGTTGTTCCGTCTTAAGAACCAAACTAGCTACAATGCATGTATTTTATTGTTCTTATGCTATATCTAACAAGACAAACAACTTTTAGCAGATTCAGCCCAAATTTCATGGACCAAGAAGATTGTGTTACTCATAGAAAGGAAGAGCTGCATAATTGTTATTTTGTACTGCATGGAAGGTTTTTTTTTATCTATGTGCAACTAAAGGTAATTGTAGTAATATATTGATGCAGATGACAATTGCCAAGAAATCTTCATCTAAAACTTACTCTAAGCAACACGATGGTGATGAATTGATGATGCTCTTCCCACCGGTTCAGACATGCCTTTGAAGTAGTAAGAAGAACCATCTTGAAAGTTCTGGTATTTCTCAATGGAAATTAACCTCCTTGCGTTTCTTTGTGTTGATTATGAGATATTTAGAACTAATGGTTCGTATATAAAATTTGAAAGTCTGCGTTAGGCTTTTGTGGAGTGAGACTAGTGATATTGGGAGATGTTATGTGATTTCGCTAACGACAAAGAACAACTGTAGACATTGAATGTACTCTCCAAGTTTACTATTTTATGTTTGGTACTTTTGTAGAAGACCCTTTTGATCATAGGAGTTCCATACCTTTTTAATGTGATGATGGTAGGAAAATTGATGTGGTATCATTAGTTCATTTGATCATTGGATTCGTGGAGGACCGTACAGAGGAATTGATCGGGCTAGCCTCAGACGTCCACACAAAATCGTACAAAATGAGTTGGAATGTTATAAATTATTACAAAATGAAGTTTTGGTTGTGTACTTGTTGGAATCCCTTGCAATCCTCAAGTACTTAACATCTCTGTTTTATTTTTCATTCCTTAGTTAATTCTCTTGCTCTCCCATAGTGGTCTCTTCCTCTCTTTTCAATGGATCTTTGGTTCATTACATGATCCAACTCGCCATCTGTGGTGGGTGAGTTCTCCATTTTCAACGCTCAGCAAGATAAATCAGATTATGTACAACAAAGGTGATAATAGGTTACTCTCAATAGGGTTTCATTTCCATACTATATGTGCTAGCTTGCAATTGCTTTTATGGATATGTATGCCTTTGTGAATCAGAAATTCATGTTTCTCATTTCGATTCTCTTGGCCTACCCTTTAGCACGATACGTTTTTGGGGAGAAATTAATTTTGCTTCCTTTTGTTCTTCTATTTCATGTTGTTTGCTTATTAATAATTTGCTCTCTTGCTTTTCAGGTATAACAAGATTGTTGAACTCTTCGACTGATAATAAATCTCTCTACTCATCCTCTGCGGAAACAGGTGATAAAAAGGAAGGAGGTTGGATTTGAGGTTATTAATATCCCTGTGCTTTTGGCTTTTCGATTGAAGTATTTCTGCAGCAGCATCATTAGCACGATCCTTTTATGTTGCTCAGATAAGTACGACACACTGCTAACGTTCATTGCTGAGGTTTCAAATTTCTTTAGTTTGTTCTTATAGCATTCAATTTTCTGGTGCTTTGGATTTATTGGTTGAAATTAGTTGATAGAATCAGCACGCCGAGAAAATTAATAGTCCGAGGACCTGGCAGGTCAGAACAACATGTTTTTTTGTTGTACATTTCATTCTGGTTCCCTTTAGAAATTTTATACAATTTAAAATTTGAAATTTTGAATGATGGTGCGAGGACCTGGTAGGTCAGAACAAGATGTTGTTTGTGAATTTTAGAGGACTTGATTTCTATCTCCAGCTTAGAGACTGTTTAGTTATCCTTTCTTTCTCCACTTTTTTTAATGGTTTTTCACATACTTGCAGCTGCAGAAGGCTCGGATTTGAGGGGGTTTCCATTTGGACATTCATTTTCCTTTGTACTTTTGAAGATTTTGAGTCATCCATGCGTTTAACATTTTGATCGCAGTGATTGTGTGCATTTTGCAAGTAAAATTCTCCACTAGAAAAATAACTACATGAACTATGTATCCACCCATTCTCTACAGGATTGTCAACTCAGCTCTTACCTAGCTAATTATTGTAGTTATGATTGCCTTTTGGGGATCTTTTGATTGGTGTTGCATGTTTTATATGTTTTTCAGAATGGATATTGATGATTTTGATTGACAATTTTATCTTTGTGCACTGTTATCTCTAAATGGATCGAGTGGTTTGGTGCTTGAGTCAGAGGTTGATATAACTTATTTGAACCATTCAAATTGTATGTGTTTGCTTCTCTTCCCATTGGCAAAACTACCTTTTTGTTCATAACTCAGAGTGCTTTCCTCTTTTGTGTCCTTTGATGTATATCCATGAATTGGAGGGTTTAGGAACAAGGGCGTTAAGAACTTCTTTCGCAGTGCAAAGCCTCTTTTTCAAGCTTTATTTTTTTTGTTTGGGTTGTTATGAGGATTGAACAATGGCATAAGTCTTACGATTTATCAAACTCTGATTGTATTGTTGAACATTGCGATTCGATTCTTCATCAATGGTCTTGCATTTTTTTTTTCCAGTTACTTCCATCCATAATTGTCTTGGTTTCGTTTGGAGATAATAGAAAATCAAGTTAATGATAAGGAATCTTACGAGTAAATACTTCTCAAAACATTTATTGTTACAATAAGAAATGTAAAAATTTATACTAAAATATGAAAAAAAATATAAAACATTAAGTTAGGATGAGCATATCAACAAAAATACGAATGAATCAATAATGAGTACCGCAAGTATTACGTTCAAATCATGTATAATCATTAATCTATATAAATGATCCTTACTTAAAATATAAATAAATTAATAAACATAAATAATACAAAATAAAATAAAATTCATCCGTGTCGGGTAAAAACTAGTATATATTTAACAACAAAAGAATCCCCAACCTTAGCGGCGCCCCTCATCCCCCCTCTCTGAGATTTCCTTCTCATTCATTTCAATGCTCTATTTCGTGCAACATGAAGGAAAAGGGGCAGGGCAGGGCAGAGAGGTCGGCACCAGCTGGAAGGAGAGGCAGCAGTAGGATTACGAAGAGTTGGGTCATCTCGTAGCTGGGTCGTCGTCGTCAAAGGGGAGAGAGGGCGAGCAGATTGCTGGGTGCTCGTCGTCACTTGGTTCGTCGACAGGAGAGCTCGCCAATTCGATGAGTTGTGCTTCCAAATCAGCAAATTGACGGGGGACGAAGAGGTCGAGGTCACCTCTTGGTTCTATCGACGGGGACTGAGTGACGGGGACTGGCGATGGGTGCTGGCGACGGAAGCTGCGCTCCTTCTGCTGTTCAGTTTGCACGAGAGGCGAAGAGAATGAATTTAAAAATTAGGGTTGTTTGACAGCTTGGCATTTTCCACTTTCCTTTAAGTTCCATTTTTTTTTTACTAAAAACAACCGGCCGAGTGTTCGACTCAAGCGGTCCGTGCGGTTAACCGCCTTGGCCGCTCACCGACCGCCCCGAAAACCCATTCCAACTAAATAACTATGCCGAGCCGTTTTGATGACCGGGTGGCGATTTTACCGGTCCGAAAAGTTATTATAATACACGAGAAACCATAACTATTTTGTGAAAAATATCCAACAATACATAACAATTTTAGAATATCTAATCAGATATAAACTTAAGAATAGAAAATAAACTAAAAGTATAAATAATAAAAAAGGAAATTCACCCAGGCAACGTGTCCGTACAAAACTTGTAGATATATGATATCCATCTCCCTCTGTTATCTAACTACCAAAGGAATGAAACATTTAATAAACTTAATAGTACATGACACAACAATGCGCACCCCCAAAAATCTGGCACCATAAAGATGCACAGGGAAGCTAGCAGCTCCAATGCCTGTTAGTTACCACCTATTATGATCTTGCGATAGAAGGGCCAAGAAGGGTCAGATGCTCTGATAGGGTTTTGACCAAATGGATTTTGTGATACAAACTCTTGAACGTGAGGCGCTTCAATCAACCGCTCCAGATATCTACGAATGTCACCTTCTGGCCCTGCTTATCGTTGCAACCACGCAATCAAATGTTAGTAAACATCCAAAAAAAAATAAAAAAAAAATAAAGAGGAAACGATTCGTAAGAAGGATGAAGGATTCTCAAAGAAGTGCTTGATGGTACGAACATCTAGGGATGGACAACAAAATGTAGGGCAACCGATGCATGACCAGAATCAGAACCAGATAAATGAACCACCAACATATATATAAGTTAATAGTAGTAACTACCAAAAGATAAGAAAAATACCCTCCGACTGCTGTGTCTAAAGGGTTTATTAAGAGAATGGCGGAGTCGCCAAGATACCTACAATCAAATAAACAATAAACTCAGGGAGCCGAGGCATTTTCATACAAGACCGAGAAGGACTACACCACTCAGCTTGTGAACCTAGGCACTGGCTTAGAGATCAATGTTTCACTGGACCAATTTACCATACAAGACACTGCTTGTAGTATGACAATCTTCTCACTACACCATTTTCTACAGGCTTTGCAATCTCAGAGCCACCATCTTGGCACATATATGGCTCCAGTAGTTACGACTCTCCAAAAACCAGGGCAAAATCTAGCGATAAAGCTTTATAAAATAAATGCTTGAGTCAGAATCTCTCCTAGAAATTAGAATAAGAAACTGAAACAAAATTAAGCCCTCGGGACTTTATCTTTCTCCACAAACCGTATCAACTATCAACTGATCAAACGACTTGTCTGGAAACAAGCCCTTTTGACAACAGCAAATAAGTTAAGGTAGTTTTCCATGAAGAAAATCACTTAAATAGGCGCAACTCACCTAATGCAGAATCTTCATCATCAGTACACTTGTATGAATGGGGAAATATAGCAGTGTGCACCTGCACACCCGATATGACAAAGAAACATCAGGATTCCATTCAGATAATGAAAATCAGTATGCAATGGCAATTTTAAACAATAAGGGCCTACCGGGTTGCGTAAAGCCTTGTATGGTGAATCGTCCAACAATAATGTATTTGATGCATCAAAGTAACCCCTTCTCCAAGGACATTTCTTCCAATCCCCCCAGAGTCTCTGCAACTCTTTTAAAACTAGGGGTTTTTCTGGATTGTCGATGGTGGCCACGCCTACGATGGTGCAGAATGATCGGTCCTGCATTAAGAGAAACATATTCAAATAAAAAGGTTGACATTAAACCGAGCTCTTTTGAGCAACCCAGATCCACTTGTATTTCACGGATATAACTCTTCAAGTTAAAATCTTAGTAAAGCTGTAAGGTCACAAGCTCCATAAATTGGTCCCTTATGCTTGTCAAGTGGCAAATAATGAAAAGGGTGTTTAAGAACGGAAATAAGCAAAGTTGAACAAAGTTCAATAATTCGCATGAGCTTTACACACATTTGAATGCATTTCCGGTCATGAAGCACAGAAAGGTGAGAACGTACATGTTATATGAACAGGAGAGACAAGGAGATATAACTGCAGTATGGTACTTACCCAACAGAAGAGCAAATCACGTTTAGAACTTCCAAAGAGAAACTTAACAACTTCATCCAAGTTAACCCTGAATTGCACAAGCATTAAGACACTTCATAAATTAGAGTCCTAATGTAACATGTGATGGATTTGATCAAACAAAAACATACCCACGGTCATATATATAACTTGTCATGAGCTAGTGTCAAGAAACAATAGCATATACAGTGTGATTAAGATGGATAATGCAGTACCTCTTTCTAGATGACCAAACACCAACTTCAAAATTCTTGAAGCAGAAGTTGAGAAAATCTACACAGTACGGCCTTCGGTAAACTGGAAATACAAAAAAGAGATGAAATTCAAACCAAAAACAAGAACCTTTGGCAACCTTATCATGAAAAGGCCCAGACCCATCAGTTTACCTGATTTTTGCCTGAGGTGAAAGTCAGGCTTACGTGATGTTGGGCGCTGCGAGTGAGGAATGATATCTGCTAAAAGCCCATTCACATCAAGGATAAGGAGCTTTTTGGCAGCACTTGCATTAGGAGGTCCTTTCATTGGAATCTTTGGTGCTCGTGGAATGCTGCCCCTTTCAGTAGGAACATCCACATTGACTTCATTCATCATTTTTGTTGGCGTCTTGCTTTCCTCTAGTGAGATATCAATGTCAGAAAAATTAGATTCGGCCTTCTTCCCTATGGTCATTTCCAATCCCTTCACTGATGTAGAATGCTCTCCTGAATTATTGCAATTTGAGCAATTCTCTGAACTTTGCCCCGTTACTTCATTCCCTCTTTCAGATGTCCTCTCAAGTTCTTCACAAATGGCAACCTCTTTTGAACAGTTAAATGAGGCACTGCCTGTCAAGATGTCATGCTTGATCAAAGGAGAATGTTCTCGAGCTTGTTCTCCCATCAGCACATCCTCCATGTGTTTGTTGGGATGTTTTTCATCTGAATGGCCCCTTTGTGGTTTTTCATCCCCAGTAATGCGTTCGGTACCAGGCTCTGCAGGTCCACCATACTTTATTGATTTCATACTACTTAGTCTTACTTCATCTTTGTTTAGAATCTCATTGGCATTCGTAAGTTCAACAGAAAAAGAACCAGGTTCGCCATCGAAGTCATCCTTATCTGTTAGCACATCAGTTGCATGTATTAGAGAACCAATTCCTGCTTGTATGACCCCAATATTGTCCTTCGCCTCTACCGAAGTGTTAATGGCATCATCTGCATGACCACCTTCTTTACCCTCAGCAGTAATGATCCCATCCTTGGCCATCAGCTTCTGCTTCTTTTTCACTTTGCGTACTTCTGGAATGTTCTCCTTAAGACAATTATCCAGACATGTATCATTCTTCAAACAAACCATTTTCGCAGCAACTCTTTCTTCGTGTGATTCATGCATCTCTCTGGGATCCGAACTACTTGAATCTTTCTTCCGCTTCTTCTTTGTCTTTCCTTCATCATCTGAAGTAGGCAATTGCATCGGATGTGAACAGTTCAAATGTTTTTCTTGCTTCTTCTTCCGTTTCTTTCCTCCCTCCTGCAATTCAACTAACATGATCGACTGAGATCTATTCAGATCTTCTGTAGGGTTGGCATCAATTCCAGTATCATGAATGCAACTATTTTTACTGATAGAGATATTCTTTGTTTCAGAAAGATCTGCCTGAGGATCACTACCAACATTCTGCATACTCTCAAATGCCCCTTCCTCTTGTGATGCAATTAGTTCTGAGGAATGGGGATTACTTGAATCTTCCCTTTTCTCTTTTCCCTTTCCTTCCTTCTGTAAGGTAGCTGACTCTGTAGCATGTGTAGCACTCAAATCTATCTTTGGTGTAGCATCAACTTCAGCATCATCGACATGCTTACCTGCTTCACGGATAGTATTCTTTGTTCCAGAAATTTCAAGCTGAGAGTAGCTGCTAGAATTCTCTATCTTTTCCAACTGTCCCTCCACTTGTGATGAAATCAATTTTGTTGGCTGTGAACTATCCCGAGCTTTCTTACGCTTCTTTTTCTTTTCTCCCTCCTGACAGGTACCGAGTTCTTCAGCCTCGGGATTGCTCAAGCCATTTCTTGAGTTATTATCCACTTGGACCTCATCAACATAACTATCTTTTTCATTGGTTGCATTCTCTGTTGCTGAAATGATATCCTGATCAATGCCAATTTTATGTGCATTCTCATGGCATCCACTCTTTTGTGAAAGTAACTCGGTAGGTTGGTAACTGTTCACATCTTTCTTCCGCTTCTTCTTTTTCTTTCCTCCCTCCTGGAAATTAGCTGGTTCTGTAGCCTGTGTAGTCATCAAGTCTTTCTCTGATTTAGCATCAATGTTATCCTCATTAACATGACTAATGGTTCCATCGACATTATTCTCTGATGAAGAAATACCAGCCTGAGAATCACTACTAAATTTCTGTATCATCTCAAGCTGTTTCTCATCTTTTGAGGTAAGCAATTTGGCAGGCCTGGGACTGTGCAAATCTTTCTTCTTCTTCTTTCGTCGCTTTGCTACTTCCGATAAGGTAATCAGTTCACCAGTGGTAATTGAATCTATATTTGATTGAGCTCCAACTTCAACTGGATTGACATAAACAACTGATTCAGCAGAACCATTCTCTATTGCAGAAATGTCAGCCAGAGAATCACTGCTAACGTTCCCTGCCTTTTCAAGCTGTCCTTCCTCTTGTGATATATGAAATATAGCAGGCTGCAAATTATTCAAACCTTTCTTGTGCTTCTTCGGTTTCTTCATTTCCTCCAGTAAGGTAACTGATTGTATATCATTTGTCCTTTCAAAACTTTCCTTGGAATTAGCATCGTCTCCTGCCTCATTGATACAACTTCCCTTTCTACCACAAGCATTTTCTGGCAGAAAATCATTAGGCAGGGAATCACCACTTGCATCCCATGACCTCTTTAGCCGCTTCTTTTTCCTCTTCTTTTTTAACTGGGAGCATTCCCGTTTGATAGTGGATTGAGTCTCTACGATGTAAGTCGTGATGCATGCATCATTTTCCTTGGACATGGCTGACAAAATACAAGCTCCCTATGAATCAAAACCAGAAAATGAATTGTCTCAACCCTCTTCCAGGTGCATTAGCAACTTCACCAGAACCTTTTGCTTTCCCACGTCTTAGTACTCTGGCTTTCGTACCCAATCAAGATGTTTTCATCCAGATCTTTCCCTGGTCACGAAAATACAACTATGCACTGCAGGAGTAATGAAACTGCAATTCACACAACATACTAATCAAGACTAGCTCACAAGGTTTTCACGCGGAAAAGAAATGAGAGATTTACAGCAGGGGAAGAACAAACCAGAAATTCCAACACTTCAGATATCGGTAATTTGCAAATAATGAGCAATGATTGGCTACTTCAACCTTAGATATCAACCAACAGTGCTTCGCTTGTTCAGTCAACCAAGATTCAACAGGCAAAGCGTATCTTGAGCCGGCCAAATCGAATTAGGTATCTCATTGATAGAGTTCGGGGAAGGAAAAGAAACAATAGAAACTCCAAATTTTCTGACCACACCGCAGAGCTCAAAAATACAGTTTCGAAGGTACAGATTGCAATGAATGGAACCGACCATGAATTGGTAAAGAACCTGAAAAGTACACGAAAACTGAAAACTGCACCGCCAACGGCAAGGCAGAATGGCGGATGAGAATGGTAGGAGCCAAACCTGGTTGAGAGAGTAAGGGAATGGCAACCGTTGTGAACTTCTGGTGCTTGAAATCGGAAGCGTTGATAGGAAGATGCAGGGCCTGCACCCGACGAAGGCGAGGGCGGCAGCTGCTCGCCGTCTGGTCGCAGTTAAGTTTAGGTGGTTAACCTTAGGGCGGAGTTCTTCCTCTATGTTTGAGTATTACATGGAAACGGAATCCGTATGTATTTGGAAAACTCCCAAAGGGGTTGTTTGGATTAGGAAATTTGAGGAGGGATTTTGCCACAATCCCTAGTCATAAGGATTTGGTCACAATTCTTTGTTTGGATAGAAAAATAAAAATGAGAGATTTAGGTGATTAGGAATTTCGAAAATCATGCTATTAGGAAATTTAAAATAACTGATGGACCCCAGGTTTTTTGAAATCTCTGCTCATTTTTCCCAAACCTTCCCAATATGTCCTTCCTTATTTTTTGTTATTCCTTTCTTGCCCTCCCCTGAATAGACGACCCACCAGCCACCACTTCCCATCTCTCTTTCCCATCTGCATCTCTTTCTTCCCTCCCGATACGACAACTGCAAGCAACTCAAAAACCTAGCGACGCGGCGATTGCAGCGGAGATAAACCTCGCGACGTCGGCGACTGTAGCGGAGTTTTACCAGCTCCGATCTACAGCGACGTCGGCGTTCTCCTTGAAGTGCGTCCGATCTCCATCTTCGATCTCACCAGCTTCGCGTGGGATCTGTGTTTCGCGCGCACGAGGGTAACAAGGTGGTGAAATTCAGGGCTCGGCTTTCAGGTTCGTCCTCCCTTCCTCCTTTCCCTCCCTATGCTTGAACCGTTCTGGGTCGGGGCTCTGTTTTCTGGGTTTATGTGAATTAAGAGTTTGGGTTGAGGTGCGAATGATCTTCTTCCTCATTTTGTTTGAATATATGAAACTAGGGTTCTGTATTGGTGTGAACTGATGAATCTTCTTCCTCATTCTGTTTGATTAGAGGAAACTAGGGTTCTTGATTTGGGTACGATTTGATTCGTACAAGAGAGTTAAAACTTGCTTCAAAAGCGTTTCCGAACATGGGTTTCGACCCCTCAGTCCATAGTGCTAAATGGTAGGAAGGGGAACAATATTTTTACCTCTTTGTTTTCATTGAGCACAAATGCCCCAATACCAACTCGATGAGATGCATTGATAGGGAGAGTATCAGGTTCGTCTTCAGGCAGCCAACGCACGAGCATTACATAATCTGATTCAGCATGGTGAAACCTAAACCCTTCCTGTAACCAACGGAATCCCAGACACCAGTTCATTCAATTCATTAGAAACCTAAGAACAAAAAGCCCACCCTAGAAATGAAATTTAAACCGAGGCGTGATTTTGAGTTACCTTAACTACTGAATCCACTAGGTGAGACTGGTTTATTTGCAAGCAGAGAGAGCTCTCTCTCACTCTAGCTCTCCATTTCTGAGCTTAAAATAAGCAAAACCCTCCTTAAAACCCTGCAACCTAACAGCCCTGCAAATTCCCAGAAATGGTGTGTGGTCTTCAGTAACTCCTTTTCAAAGTATTACATTCTTAATAATAAGTATCACTTGATGTTGTCTTACTGAGTTGAGTGAATGGATGGTTTGTGTACTGATTTGAGTGAATGTTATGATTTGATATGAATGGGTGATTTGGTGTACTGGATGGCTTGTTAAATTTGGAATCCATGAATTTCTTTATGTCGAATTGATCGTTTGATGTACTTATTTAACTAATTTAAAATTTAATTTCAAAAGGATGTCTCGGCTGTCAAGGATGTCTTCAATGGAAAGACGCAAGCTGATTGCGGCAATTAGCGCATTTTGGAATCTCATTATAATATATGTCGAGTTAGGGATGGAAGTAATGAAACTAACAGAGCTATTGCTTGTAAATCCTAGACTTGGTAGACAGCCCTTAGATGGTTACGCGATGAGACACTATGATCGACAACGAGTCATTTACAAATGTACCAAAATGAGTGATACCGAAAGCCATAGGAAGATCAGGATGAACCGTACATTATTCACAAAGTTGTGTGACCTTCTAGCTGCTGAAGGTGGGTTGAAAAGAACAAGAAACATAGAAATAGATGAGATGGTTCTGACGTTCCTCTTAACTATTTCACATAGTGACAAAAATAGGAGTTTAGCAGTAGATTTGCGTCGTTCCACAGAAACCATTTATCGGTCCTTTCACCGGGTGTTGCGGGCAATCCTTAGACTCAACAAGCTTCTAATGAAGAAGGCTGAAACAATTCCAGCTGATTCCACTAATAAAAGATGGAAGTATTTTAAGGTTTGCCAACTAAAAACTGTTCTTATAATCTTTCTTATAGAGCAGCTTGTCAAAATGTGTTGTGTAACATTTTTTTTCTTCTTCATTGATATAGAACTGTTTGGGAGCTCTTGATGGGACCCATATAAATGTTCGACCACTGAAGGAAGAACGAACTAGGTATCGAGATAGGTCAGGCCATCTCACAATGAATTGTTTGGGAGTTTGTACTCCCGACTTAGAATTCATCTACTGTCTTGCTGGATGGGAAGGGTCTGCCCGTGATTCAAGGGTCTTGAATGATGCCTTGAACAGGCCGAATGGCCTTGTTGTGCCAGAAGGTAATTGTATTACAATCAATAAAACTAATTGGTATATGCGTCAAACTTGATTCAAGGGTTTAGGAAATCTAATTCAGAATATTTTTTTGGTTTAGGGTGTTATTATCTTTGTGATTCTGGCTATGCTAATAGCCCCGGATTTTTGACCCCGCTTCGGGGTCCAAGATACCATATTGATGAAACAAGGGGACATCTGCCGCAAACAGCCGAAGCATACTATAATTGGAGACATGCTCAAGCTAGAAACGTAATAGAAAGAATCTTTGGAGTGTTAAAAATGAGATGGGCAATCCTTAGGGAGTCAACTTGGTTTTCTGTACCTGTTGTAGCTCGAATTGTGCTAGCTTGTTGCATTCTGCACAATTTTATAAAGAAAGAACATGGTGTCGATATATATGAAAGGACATTTCGAGACCAAGACATACAACAACATGGATCGAATGAAGTTGATATGGTCGGAATATCCAGCACTCAACCAACTGAAGCGTGGAATCAGTTTAGGACTGATTTGGTCTCGGAGATGTGGCAAACTCGACCTGCTAGATTTCGAGCTTCTTCTTGAGTTTGATTCGTTGTTGTTTGGTTGTATGGCTGTTTTCATTTAATGTTGAGGACCTGTTCAGTTGTAATGGTTAAGACATGTTCAATTGTAATTCAGGGTAGTTATTTTGACAAGTAGGCAGAATTAATGTTAAGACCTGTTCAGTTGTTCTTACTGCCGTGTCTTTGTTCCATGTCTTTATAATCATGTTGTTGCTGCTGAAATACATGCTGCTTGTTCTTGTTCTTGCTACTGAAATATATGCTGAAATACATGTTGCTTATTCTTACAACAGTTACAACTAGTCACAATCATGTTTAGTCTCGATCAAATAAGGAGTTTGATGTGTCAACTTTATGTGCTGAATACTTATGTTAGGACTATTTTAGAAATAGGAAGCTCTCTGTTTCTTTCTTTCATTCTAGGATTGAACTCAACAAACAATGGTAATTGGTCACTATGATTAGGAGGTCTGCCTGCATTTTAGGTGGATTTAGACCTGCTGGCTATAGCACCAACACAGTTAGGGTACCTGAAGTGAGATAGACAAAGTGGTCAATTACTTGGGGATTAGTATTTTATTTCTATGAGTAGAATGGGTAAGTTTCTATATAATGTATATGACTGTTAGGCAATTGGGCTCAGGAATGCAGCTGATTTCAACATGTCTACAAGCAACCCTTCTGAGAATGATCCCAATGCTATCAAAGTGCCTTGCCATCATCATCAATACATAAGAAAAAAAATATTCCAGACTTGATTTTGAGCAGTCTTCTCATTAGTTCTGCACTCTTTTGTATTCTTCTGTTTTGCAGCATGGGAAAGAGAAAACAACGCGATGAGGATATGGATGGTGCTTGCTCTAAGACATATACGTACTGGAAAGAGGAACTAGACAAGCCATTTGCTGACTGTATTCTGGAGCTAGTAGAGAAGGGGCAGATCGTTGACGGCAACTGCAAGAATGGGGCTTATAAGCAGTTAGAGAAGCTGTTGCAGGAAAGAGTGCCGGGATGCAGGGTCAAGGCACATCCTAACATTGAAGGCAGGTTCAAAAAACTGAAGAAGAGATGGCATGCAATAACATTTATGAGAAAACAAAGTGGTTGGGGATGGGACGAGGTCAATAAATGCATTGTATGTCCCGAGGGATCTTGGGATGAGTTTGAGAAGGTAAATTACAGCATGATCTTTATTTTTCTGTCCTATAAACCACTCCTTTTCTAATATAAGCTGCCATTTTCTTTCTATGTATATTGTTGTCTTGCAGAAGCACAAAAGCTGCAGAGGGTTGAACAAGAAAAGATTTCCCGTCTACGATGACTTAGCACCGGTTTTTTGCAAAGGGCGTGCAAGTGGTGAGCATGGGGTCGACACCAATGTTGTTGACGCTATCGATTTAGAGGATGACGAAACTGCACCTGTCGAAAATGAAGAAATGGATGATGTGTTGATGGATGAAATACAAGCAGAAATGGCAGCACAGAATAATCAATCTGCCAGTGTTACCGCTTCAACCGATGGTGCTCCAATTAAGAAGAGAAAGAAAAGTAAGACAGTCGATGAACACCTCGCCAACTCCAATGAGGAAATGAGAGAGCTTCGACCACTCATTAAGCAATCAGTTGACACTATTGCAAGAGCACTCGGGGAGAGCGATGATCTCATTAGCAAAAGATCGAATCTGCTGAGGAAGCTGGAAGAACTTGGAGGCCTCACAACAACTGATATCATGACTGCATTGCGGAAGCTCTCTAACAATGATCGGGACCTGGTGACATTCTATTCGTTGGAGGCAGATGAATATAAGATGGCTTTTGTTAGGGGATTGCTTGGATGAAGGCGAATGATTTTAGGACAAGCTAGAATTTTTCTATATTAATGTGCTTATGAATCAAACTTTGAAGGTTGGTCTTCATGGTTGTAATCCCAGATTGTGTGTTGAGCTTTTTGGGATATACAGTATGTTTCTCTAGGCAGTAGTAAGACATGTATTATGAACAGCTTGTTATGGAACAAAGACACGGCATTAAGAACAAAGCAGCATGTATTTCAGCAGCAACTGTTATGCAATCTTGTTTCTGTTATGCAATCTTATTTCAGCAGCAACTATTATGCAATCCCCTGAAATCATACAGACAAAGCCTCCACACAGGCTCTGCCTCTTCGACCAGCTCACTCCCTTGACATTTTCTCCCATGATTTTCTTCTACGCCAATCCTGACCACAACAATCCCAATCATGCTTCCTTCATCCGCCGCCTGAAGCACTCCCTGGCCGAGACTCTCGACATTTACTACCCTTTATCCAGCCGGACCGGCCCAACAAACTTGGTCATCGACAGCTTCAATGCGGGCCTCCCTTTCACTCTAGCCCATGTCGTCGATTGCCGCCCCTCCCAGTTCCTGAAACGCAAAGAAACAGAGCTCCTCAACCATCTCCTCTCTCGACAGCCGTTTCAAAAGGAGCCTTCCGACGTGGATTCCCCTGTTTTGGAGCTTCAGGTCTCTGTTTTCAATCTATTCCAATGGTTTGCTTCTCAGCTTGTTTTGGTTCCTCCAAGTGACGGCCGGCCTTTGGCTTATTGATTGGAACATCCGGTGAGCAGGGGATAGAGCTAGGACTCTGCCTCGTCTGTTTTGCTTCCAGGAAAACAGCCGCCGGTCTCGAGGATTCCAGGAGGACGCAAAAGAGACGGATTAAAAGGGTCTGCAAAGAAGAGAGTGAACAGGGCAAAATAGTAATTTTAGGTTTGTCATTAAAATCTAAATTGCTCATTGGACAATTCTGGATCCCTTATCAAACAAGTAAATTGATTCAATTTCCTTGTTTAAATTACCTGGATTTTTAAGTGCAGAATTTGGGTACAAATCCCTTATGAATCCCTCAAATCAAAATGCTTAGTCCAAACGACCCCAAAGGTCTAGATAGGGTGGTTACGACTTACTACCCGTATTCCAATACTAAATATCAAAATCCCGAATATCGAATTACACCTTAAAATCAATCTCAATCGCAATCTGTAAATAAGTTCGGTATCCCAATCTCAATCCCTATCGGTATTATCGAATACAAAATTAAGGGACATGTTACAGTGATTAATACAAAATAGCAATCACCATGGTTAATAAGGGCAAATTGGGTATGACAAAAAATTTATTAATTACCTTTTTCAACAAATTAGAAGTTTCAAAAATATATTAATTACAATTTTCTCTCTCTTTCACAATCTCCATCCATATCTCTTTTTTTCTCAATCTTTTTCTTGTCTCATTTCAATCGAAATAATAATACTACAAAAATAAAACAAGAATCAATATCATTCCATTAAACAACCACTACCATTTCGGAAAACACCAATAGAAATGAATCAATACCAATCTGTTAGACAACCACTACCATTTCGGAAAACACCAATACAAATAAATCAATATCAATCCGTTAGACAACCACTACCATTTCGGAACACACTAATACAAATAAATCAATATCAATCCGTTAAACAACCACTACCATTTCGGAAAACACCAATAACATTGCAAAAATAAATCAATACCATTATGAAAAACAATATCATTACACTAAAACTACCAATATAAACAATCTATACCATTATAAGAGTCAAACCAATACCAAAATCAAACAATACCAGTATACCACTACTACTATGAAGTCAAAACAATACCATTACATAAATAAATCAATACCATTATGAAAACAGAACTATATCATTTCATAAAACAAAACAAATAAATTAGTACCAAAACAATGAACCCAGATCCAAAACCTTTCCGAGAGAGAGTGAGAGAGAGGAGATCGTGGAGGGAGGGGAGGGGTTACAGGTGACTACGCGCAGTGATCAATAGAGAGAAGGGATGGGGAGGTCGTGTGTGCTAGGGAGGGGGGAGGTGGGCTAGGGATGGAGAAAGGATTGGTAGGAGGGCAACGGGGTTGTGTGGAGGAAGGAGGGACGGTGGCAGGTGGCGGGGGAGGGAGGGTGGTGGTAGGCGGCAGGTTGGGTGGGGTGAGGCGGAGGGAGGAACGATGGTGAGGGAGAAGAGTTGAAGTAACATTTGGGTTTGAGTATAATATATAGAGTAATCAAGTGTGATATTTTTTTTATTTTCAAAATTACCCTTAATCTAATCTTTATCGTTAATTTAAAAATAGGATAAAATAGAGATAATGAATGGTGTAGATTAAGGTAGCCATTGTGATTACTAAAACTTAAGTAACCACGCTAACCCATCTCACAAAATTAATTACCTTTGCAATTAATAATTAAATATATAAATTAGATTTTATTATTTAAATTAGGGTAAAGAGACTAAGCAACGAGTCTTGAGTTGCCTAGAGCTAACATCTCAAGTTCTTGTAATTGATAGTCTTTAATTTGACGAATTGGAGGTTTGGAGACGACTAGTACTAGTGTGAAATAGTGATGGAATGATCTATGTATAATTAAATGACACTCTTAGTGGCTGAGGGTAGCGTAGTAGTGAATGAGAGAGTCTAGTTGAGAGGATAAAATGCACACTAGCTTCTGTTTTGGTATTGATCGGTATTTCGGTATATAATGATCCAAATCCCATAATCCCTAATACCGAATAATAATTGAGATTCAATCCCAATCCCACGAAATAATACGTGTATTCGGTAATACAAAATATAGACAAATTTGATATGATATTCGGTATATCCCAAATACAGGTACCAAACTTCCAGCCCTGCTTATCAGCATGCCACAGTTTTTATTTTAAGTTTAGTCAAATCTGAATGGTGAGAGTGAAAGTAGAAAGGACATTTTTGTCTTTACAATTAATTATTTATTCCGTATAAAAATATAAATATCAGGATTTGAATTTGAATTTGGGTCTCTTCTAAGAAAGACAACAATCACAACCAATTACACTAAAGAATTTGTTGTATTTTTTTAGTACAAAACATACACGAAGTGACACCTAAAAATGGAAGGACTTTTTCATCATGATTAACAAGCTCATTAAGTCTACCGTATTTATTTTTATGGTGCTTGATACTGCAATTTTCATAGCAGAGTTTCATGTAGTTTTCTCAATTCTATAATTACTGCTCCCTACCTAATTTTCGTTAAAAGTAAATTGGTAATTGGCCAACATGAAAGAAACTAATTATATTACTCCATATTGTGTTCTTGCTTTTTTTCATTTATATTTAAATTTAATATTTTTTTTATCTTTGTTCTTATATATTTCTAACTTTCTCTGAAATTCCCTCTATCGTGAAGTAGTTTGCGCCCCCTTTCACTTCACAGTACAAGATCGCCTTTGAAAATCAATCTTCCGCTATCTCTTTGCACTACAATTTTATTGTTGGAGATTTAAACTAGGCAAGTAGAAGATTTCAACTCCGATATCAATCCATGGAGAATAGAATGGAGTTCCATAAATGGAGTTGTAGAAGGAGGATTAAAAATTGAATTTTTGGTTGAAACATACGCCTCTTGAGATTGAAGATAGAGTGGGTAAAATTTTTATTGTATAATGGAGAGTGGTGGCTATTGGATCTTTAGGTTTATGATTTTTGCACCTATCGCAACCTATTTTTATCTTAAAATGAGGAATCATTGATTGTTTTACTAAAGTAGGTCAGTCGATTCTATATTCAACCTACTGGAACTGATTAATTTTTTTCCTTATGACTTTGATAGAGTCTATAGTATATTGGAGGTAACCTAATGTTGGCGTTTGCTCTCAAGTTTTGATGGTCCGCTCTTAGCTGAGTTGTTAGTATATATACTTGATTTGAATCAACACCTCTCTATTTCTTTGTGATTAGTGGCATATTGTTCCTAAAAGGAGAGTATTGAACATTAATGTAGGATTGCAAGGTTTAAGATTTAGTTTCAAACTATCTATGGTTCGTGTGACAATTTCAGTGTGCTTTTATACCCTTCTTTCTTGACAATCAACTAACCAATAGCATTTTACCGGAGAAATAATTAGCATTATGAAAATGGGATCAATGATACATTTTTATATTTTATTTTACTAAATGATGATTATATTTATCCAAATGCTCAACCTATATATTCTTTATTTATGTATCATCTTGATCGAAGGATTATCAATAAAATTAAACGGGTTGATAGACTTAAACATAACATGAAAATATAAATGATCAAATAAGAAATATTTTCCGGCCAACTGCCCGGATTATAAGCTAGTTAAGTAGCGATTTCGGTTAAATTTCACGTTTCATTCGAATCACTTTTCATTCTTATTAGTTATCAACTTTACAAATCATTTCATCGTTAGTTATTGATGGTCTGTCTTCGTCAGACTTCGTTAACATCGTTACATTTTTTATGAAGTGGCAAACAGACTGTTGACTGGATTGACAGAAAGGCCGAGTCACACAAGTAGACCACCTAATCAGCCTCAATCCCCACCCAATTGACCAAAACCTTGCTATTTTGAATTTTTTTGTAGGGTAAATGCCACATTTGGTCATCGGGATTACTAAATCGTGTCATGTTAGTCACTCCAAAAAATTAATATCAATTTTAATCACTCGAATTGCTGAAAACACGTCACATTTAGTCAGTCTCCGTTAGTCTTCGTCCAACTCCGTTAACATAGTCCGTTATGTGCTGACATGGCTAAAGGGAGCACCTAGTCAGCGTCGTATTTGGCCAAAAATGGTCAAACCCGACCCGCCATGTCATTAAACTTGTCATGTCATACACCCAACCCAAACCATGAACACAACCCGACCCAGAACCAAACCTGAGCCCACTTAACAAAACAAAATTGTAATCACAACACATTCATCACTGGTTCTATATCATCTCCTTCATCTTTTTCGCTACCCCCATCACATTCATTCCCCATCGCTGCCACCTTCTTCCAACTTTCACAGCAAGCAAAAAGAGACCGACTGCCTTTTCCACCACAACCCCATGAACTCATCTCTCTCCACCAACCTTATCTCCCAATTTTCATCGTTTTGATTTTTGTTGACTTTAAAACATGGTTTGGATTGTTGTAGATTAATTGATTTTTTGTTTGAATTATGGTTGGGTTTTCAAAGGAATCGGGTTGTTTCATTCTCATCTTCGCACCACTTCTCCTTCCTCTTGCCGCTTCACCTTCCATCATCCTCCTCTCCTCGCTCTCCCTCCCTTTGATGGCCGAGCTCGTCTAGTCCAGAAATCACCACAGGACTCCACCGTTTGAGAAAACTCCATCCAGAATCCATGCAACCATTGCAGCTGCAATCCATGTTGTTCTCGCTAAGAATCACCGCCTTCGGCTCTAATCTCCTTAGGGTTTTCGAGAACTTTGTTCTCTCGTCGGGATTGTTGTTATTCAGTCCGTGGAGAAGGAACTGCGCGCAGAAGATTAGGGTTTCTTCCTGATTCGCGTCGATGATTTGGGGGTTTAGCGTTTGTAACGGGCGGCTGATCTGCAGGTTTATGCTCATCAATATGGCAAAAGAGAGCAACCTGGTGGCGAAATTGTCCCCCGAAGGTCTGATTGAGAATTGGGTTTCTCCATTCTGGTTGGTTTCCATGGCTGTGACGGTCAATACGATGATTCTTACCAGTGGCGGCGGGGGAGAAATATGGGATAAGTGGTGGGTGAGGGATCGGAGGCCGTAGGCGGCGAGTGGTGGTTAACGCTTCCGGTGAGGGAGGAGAGCTCGTGGAGGCGTAGAGCAGGTGCTGGACGTGGGAGAAGTTGAAGGGGGCGACGACAACGGCTGCTGGACGCGGAATCCTCATGTTGATCTGCAGATTCTCCCCTAACCCAAAAACAGAGTGGGCTAAGGTTTGGTTCTGGGTCAGGTTGGGTTCATGGGTTGGATTGGGTGTATGACATGGCGGGTTTAGTGACTTGGCAGGTCGGGTTTGTCCATTCCTGACCCAAAATGGTGCTGACTATGCGTTCCCATTTGCATGTCATCACATAATGAACTCTGTTAACGGAATTGGACGGAGAATAACGGAGAGTGACTAAATGTGATGTGTTAAATTTTTCTAGTGACTAAACATGACACGATTTAGTAATCTCGGTGACCAAATGTGGCATTTACCCTTTTTTATACATTTGTTTGTTTTATTGAGAAAAACTTTTTCAATTGATGACTTTCGTTGATCTAAAAATGGACAGAAAGTTTCCTATGGAATTTTAATACTTTTTACCCATTGACTCACTTACAACTACCTAACAAATCGCCATTAATTTTCCATCAAGTTTCAATCTTTCTCATAAGGGTACCCTCCGATTCGAATGGGTAGATTTGGGTTCTTCTTTGCCTATGTTTTGTCTTGCTTCTCCTAGTCTCTCACTAACTTGACTTCTTCTTCTTCTCCGCTCTTCCCTAACCAAACCCTCACCTCGTTGAACCTGATTTTTGAAGTGAGATTTTTTGCTATAGATAACAGCTTGAGAAACCGCTAATTAAGGTTCGATCAAGTAAACTTCTCCCTAGGCGATTGTTTGGGTGGCCACCTCAGAAAAGGTAGAAATTCACCTTCGCTTCTCTGCTTTCTTGCCCATGACCACCACATATGCAAACTGGAGCAACGGATTGGGGATCTTTGGTAAGATTTTCTTCTTCAACTCTTCAGCATATGTTCACAGTTGCCATTTTTCGGGCTTTGATTGGTGAATAATTTCGAACGGCTAAATTAAAAGTTCCTCTCTTTGTAGTTGTTGGCATAATGCCGGTAGTCACTGATCGAAGGAGGTAGCGGGCGATTTGATGGCGAAGGAAGTTCACGGTGGGTGCTTCGGCCACTCAGATCCCTGTGTTTTTTTTAGTATTGACGTGACATTAAGTTAATGATCTAGTTAGAAGTTCTGTTTGCCATGTTATATAAAAACTAACAGTGAAGAAATTGTGAACACGGAAGAACGAAAACTCAAGCACACGATTTTACGTGGTATCCCTGCTCAGATTGAACAGGACTAATCCACGGTGAGCTCGAACGAGCTCACGACTGTTTTTATTTTCTGACCTTATTACTTGATACTTGCTACGACAACACCCGCAGCTAAGTATTTATAACCAAGACTAGGGTAGACTTAATAGCTGAAACCCATTACAACAAGGACAAAGTCTTAGACGTCCAACAAGACACGGTTACTTGCTAACCAAGCAAGTCAAGTAACCGTAATACTCCCCCTCAAGCGAAAGCATGTATATCAAGCATACCGAGCTTAGAAAGAAGGTGATGAAACTGATCAACGCTCAAGCCTTTGGTGAGAATATCCGCAGGTTGGTCTTCAGTAGCAATCTTGCATAGCTGAATGTCCCCGGATAACACACGTTCTCGAACAAAAAAACAATTCATTTCTACGTGCTTGGTCCTTTCGTGAAAGACAGGATTAGCCGATATATGTAAAGCAGCCTGATTATCACAAAACAAAGGAGTAGCAGTAGACATGGGATGTCCTAACTCACCAAGTAACCAATGAAGCCAAACCAGCTCACTAACCGTGGTGGCCATGGCACGATACTCAGCTTCAGCAGACGAACGTGCAACAACGGACTGCTTCTTAGTACGCCAAGAAATGGGGCACCACCAAGACTAATAAAATAGCCAGTAGTAGAACGACGAGTGGTGGGACAACCAGCCCAGTCCGCGTCACAGAAAGTAGTGAGAGTAAGAGAACTATCGACAGGGAAGAACAAACCATGCCCGGGGGATTGCTTGAGATACCGAAGAACGCTAGTAGCGGCGTCGACATGGGCCTATGTGGGAGCATGTACGGCTTGACTAAGTATGTTGACAGCATACTGAATGTCGGGATGAGTCACAGTCAAGTATAAGAGTCTACCCACAAGGCGACGGTAACTAGAAGCATCGACCATTGGAGAAGAAGGACCACGACCAGTTGATGGTTCTGTTCAATGGGAGTCGACAAAGGATGAGTACTAATGAGACCACTATCAGCCAAAATGTCAAGGACATACTTACGCTGGTTGAGGACAACACCTTTAGGGGACCGTGCCACCTCAATCCCAAGGAAATATCGAAGAGGACCCAAATCCTTGATCGTGAAGCGCGAGTGAAGGAAGTCTTTGACACTCTGAATGAACATCGCATCATTACCAACGAGGATAACGTCATCGACGTAGATAAGGGCTGCAACAAAACTAGAACCAGACCAGTGAATAAATAAGGAGTGATCAGCTCGACTTTGAACAAACTTGAACTCGAGGAGGGCTTCCAAAAACTTCTTGTACCAGTTACGAGAAGCTTGTTTTAACCCACAGATAGACTTGATGAGCTTACATACACGAGTATCACCAGGACGAGCAAAACCTTGAGGAACCTCCATATAAACCTCTTCGCAAAGATCACCATGCAGAAAGGCGTTATTTACGTCGAGTTGATGAAGTATCCAATTCTGACTAACATCAATGGCTATCAAACAGCGTACCGTAACCAATTTAGCAACCGGTGCGAACGTGTCATGGTAGTCAATGCCTTCAACCTGAGTATACCCTTTCGCAACTAAACGAGATTTATAATGCTCGACTGAACCGTCTGGGTTAAATTTTACTTTATAAACCCATTTTGACGCAATAGCTTTCTTGCCTGAAGTAAGTGGAACGAGAACCCATGTACCATTGGACTCAAGTGTCGTGAACTCTGTTTGCATGGCTTTGCGTCAGTGCTCATACTTAACAGCTTGGTAATAGTAGTTGGGATAAAAAACGTTGGAGACTTGGGCGACATAGGCCTTGTGCTCAAGCGAGAGGCGGTCGTAACTAACATAGTTGTTGATGGGGTATATGACGTGACTCATGTTTGCCTGATGACCGGGAAGATCAACTATGCTATCATTATAGCGACTGGGAAGACGTGTGACATGAGTGCTATGACGAGGCGATGGCGGTGCATCTGCATCAGGTAATGCCTGCGATGAACCGGACGAGGACCCTGATGCGGGTGAAAGAGTCGGAGAAGTCTCAGCATCCAACAATGGTAACAAGACGCCAGTGGGTGAGGATGGGCCATCTAACGTCGAGGAGATAATATGATCCAAGGTGGGAGATGTTGGCTCAGCCGGTGGTGACGTATGAGCAGACGCGGGAGACACCTCATGCACAACATGTGGGGAATTATGAGAATCATTATGTCCCACATTATTAGTGGAAGGTGGGTCTGGAAGCTCATTCTCTACGTCATCTAGCAAGCTGGCCATGCGATCCACAAGGTCTCCCAACTCTGCGAAAGAATCATCATCAAGTCCAACATAGTTGTGCGACGGAGAGAGGGTAGTTGGGTCCGCAACAGATGGTGAGATCTTGGCAAAAGGAAATACCTCCTCCAAGAAGAATACATCCCTTGAAGAGTAAATGACTTGCCGATAGATATCGAAAATGCGATATCCACGTTGGTGGGCTGGATAACCGACGAAAATCCCAGGACGACCACGAGCGGCGAATTTTGATAGACTTGCATGGGTGTCTTTAGCATAGACGAGACAACCAAATGAGCGAAGATGATCATACTTGGGGACCTGACCAAGGAGAACTTCATATGGTTTTTATTTTGAAGAGACGTAAGGGGCATACGATTGATCAGGTATGCAGCCGTGAGAACACATTCTCCCCAAAAATGAATTGGAAGACCAGAATATAAACGAAGCGTTCTAGCTGTGTCCAACAAATGACGGTGTTTACGCTCGACCACACCATTTTGTTGAGGAGTGTTGACACAGGATGTTTGAAGTATGATCCCTTCACGCTCATAATAATCCCGTAACTCTGGGACAGTGAATTCTCGGCCATTGTCACTTTCGATTCTCTTAACACGCTGCTCATATTGTGTTTTCACCTGATTACAAAAGAGCAAGAGATACCTAGCAACCTCGGATTTTTGCTTCAACATGTACACCCAAACTGTGCGGCTAAAGTCATCAACGATAGTGAGAAAATAGTAAGCACCAGCAAATGAAGCTTGCTTATAACCTCCCCAAATATCAATATGAATGAGTTCAAAACAAGAATGAGTCTTAATGGTACTGGAAGCAAAAGGTAGTCGAGTCTGCTTAGCCCGTAAACAAGACAAACAGGGGTCTTTATTAACAACTAAAGTCCGAGAAAGATAATGTTGCATTGCAGTAAGCTTAGCCGCGGAGGGATGACCAAGCCTGGAATGCCATAACTGAGAATCTTTGACTGCTTGCTGCGCTGCCAATGCCAATGGATGCCTACTGCCAAACACCCATAAGTAGTAAAGTCCATCGACCTGTTTACCCATCCCAATCATGTCTCTTGATTGCAAGTCCTGAATGACACAAAAGTTGCTTAAAAATATCACGGCCACCGGATGATCAGCGGTAAGAAGACTGACTGACAAAAGATTGCACTGAAAATCCGGCACATGTAAAACACGACAGAGTTCTAAACCATTATCCAATTTAGAAGTACCAACGCCCCGAACAGGTATTCCAGTACCATTTGGAATACGAACCTGTAAACTTGAGTCGGACTCCAACTCACCAGTAAACAACGAAGAGTGTTTAGCAATATGCTCATTACATCCGGAATCA